CTTCTTCTCTCTAAAACATGCATTTACTGCTAGGACTTTCCCTCTAAGTATTGCTTTAGCTATCGTAGAAATTGTGATATGCTGTCTTTTCCATTTGCTTCTGTTCAGTGTGTTTTATTTCACTTAAGACTTCTTCTGTGACCCATGGATTATTTAGAAGTGGTTTATTTACTGTCCACATGTTTGGAGATTTTTCTCTTGTGTTTTTGTTAAATTTAGTCTTAATTCCATTGTCATCAGAGAATATAACTTGTATGATTTCAGTTACCTTAAATTTGTTAAAATGTATTTTATGACCCAGAATATGGTATACCTTGGTCAGTATTCCATGTGCATTTGAAAAGAACATATATTCTGCTTTATTGAGTAGAGTGTTCTTTATATGTCAGTTAAAACCGGTTAGTTGATGGTGCTTTTCATTTCTATGGCCTTGATTTTCTGTCAGCTATTTCTGTCAATGACCGAGAGAGAAGTGTCGGCGTCTCCACGTATAATCGTGGATCGATTTGTCTCGTTCTCCTTTTAGTTTTGGTCAGTCTTCGCTTCAGGTGGAAGCAGAGCCCTTGTTAGGTGCATAAACACTTACGGTGGGTGTCGTCTTCCTGAGCTGTCCCTTTGTCACTATGTAATAGTGCTTTTTACCCCGGAAATCTTTTTTGCTCTTAACTCTACTTTATTACTAACTTTTTTCATATTAGTTTACATGGTATGTCTTCTTCCATCTTTTTAGCTTTAACTCACCCACATCTATTATTTTTAGAAGGCACGTGCTAGCATTATTTTTCAATCCATGCTGACGCACACTATCTTTTCACTGGTAAAATTAAACCATTTACATTTAATATAATTGCCGATATGATTGGATTTAGATAAAAACAGTTATTTCACTATTTGTTCTTATTACATTTTATTATTATTACATAATTTATGGTTTTCTGTCTTTCCCGCCGTTTTTCATTTCTCCCCTCCCTTCCTCTCTTTCAGCTGTTTGAACGTTTTTTTAGTATTTTAGTTCACCTGTTAGTTTCACTAGCTTTCGCTCTAGGTGTCACGATGCTTAACGCGAACAGCCTCACTGGAATCAGTATCTGAGCACCTTGACGTGGAACGCAGAACCCTCACCACCACCCAGACCCTTCGCTCCGGTCCGTGACGTCATAGTGACGTATGTTACATCCACACACACGGAAAACCTTTTCCGACAGCGTCATGAAGTTGCGTCCATCAGAGACGGTTTAAAGGCCGCAGCCGAAGAACGGTCGGCAGCACCCTGCGGGGCGGCCGCCAGCGCGTCCGTCACCCGCCGCCCGGGCGTCCCTTCCCGCGGCCGGGTTTCCTTTGGCTCTGGTCTCCTGACAACGCGTTATCTGTGTGTGTTTGTTTTCTATCTGCAAACGTCATTATTTTAATTCCGAAGGCTCTTTTTAGGCTTCCGAGTTGCTCTTTCTTTCTCGCCGTTTCGCTCCGGGACCCCGCTGTCTCTGAGAATCCGTCACCCTCTGGTCGCTCCTCCGTAGGCAAAGCGGCGTTTCCCGCCGGTGGATCAAAGCTTTTTCTGTGTCTTCAGACTTCAGCAGCTGGATCCGAGGTCCAGGAGGGGACGCCTTCGGGTGTGTCCCGTCTGCCCTTTGCTAGACTTCGTAACTCCGTAGATGTATATTTCTTGCTAAACTTGGATATCCGACAGCTATTTTTCCTATACCACACTCTCCCTCTCTTTCTGAAACTCCAGTAATACAAGTGTTAGGCCTTTTGGCTTTGTCCCTCATGTCCCCAAGGCCCTCGGTGGCTTTCTGTTGTTTGTTTTTAGCATTTTTCTTTCTCAGGTCAGATCATCGGTCGACTTATCTTCATTTTCACTGGCTCTCTCCTCTGGCGGCCCTATTCTGCTGGTCAGCCCATGCCGTGCAGTTTTTAAATTGTAGTTATTGTTTTGGGTTTTTTTTTTTTTTCAGTACTAAATTTTCATTCGTAACTTACATTTCCTTGACGTTCCGTGGTTTGAACTGTTTCAAGGGCATTTTCCCATCTTGCAGCTCTTGTATTAGACCTGTAAGTTGTCACGTGATGAACATCAAATCATCATGTGACACACGTTTCATTTGTCAGTTACACCTCAAGAAGCTGGGGCAGAAGGTCGTCAGGTGGTTCCAGCCTTGGGGTCACCTGTGCTTTTGCGTCTGTTGGTCCTCTCTCCCAGGTGGGTCGAGGATTTCCTGCCCTGTGCCTGGTACCTGGTGCCTACCTGGGGCACCCTTCTCAGAGCATCACCCGTGTCAGCCCAGGTGTGTTAGTGAAGTCCGCCCCGATGTCCACTCCCACACGTGGCACGGAAAGCGGTCTCATAAGGTCCTGGTGTCCGTGACATTGGATGGCATCTCCCATGGTCAGTGTTGGAAACCAGCCTCATCACCCCCTGACTGATGACATCCAATCCAGGCAGAGGATTTAGGAAACAGTGTTTGTAGGGTTAGGTGGTCACAGTGCGGGTGTTTTAAGTAGCCACCCAGAGCGAAGTACAAACGGCATGTCTTAAGGTAAGGGCGTCCTGGGGCGGGGGTCCACCCCCAGCAGATCCCGCCTGCACCCCACGGCACGCACGGGGCCAGCGGCAGGCAGACCCCGGAACAGGCCAGAGAGGGGATGAGGGGGCGAGTGAAGGAGGGGAGGGTCCTAGATATGGCCCTAGGTTCGCAGCCTGCTCTCTGGGAGCGGGGAGGGGGGACCATCATGGGGAGAAAGAGAGTAATATTTTAACGGTGCCCTCTGGGCCCCCTGGAATGCTGGTCCAGCCACTGGCGACTCATGTGGCCACCTCAGCGTCAAAATATCACTATGTTAATTTTTACGACCAAGTTTTACTACGTTTTAGAATAATATTTAACAACCGACAGTGTTGGCCCCTCCTCAACAGCGGGCCTGATGGCAGCGTCTGATTCTGCACAGGTTGGGGCCGACGGCCTGTCCCTCACCGCTGCTTAAGCCAACGCATGCGTTTGCTCCCTACAGGGTGGAGCTGAGTTTCAGATCCATTCATAGCGCGACGTGCTTGGCCGCCGAATATTGTCTCGTCTGAGCTATTTTTCCTCACTATTGCCCGGTGTGCACAAGGTTTCCCGTGAAAAATCGACAACGAACCCGAAACAGTTCGATCAACCCTGCGAGCGTCTACGGGCGCGTGATTGTTTTGTGACGCGTACGGTCCCTTCACACGCAGAGAGAAAGGTGGCCTGTTGCCCCCCAGGGTGGGGCCCGGCTGACGGGCTGGGCAGGTGTGTGGCTGCCCCAGCTCCACCGAGTTCCCAGGCCTCTCGGCAGAGTCCCCGGCTGTTCTGGCAAACCTGGGCCGTGCCCCCTCCCCGGAAAACAGCGCGCCGCAGCCGGCACTGTCTGTGGCGGCCCCGAAGCCGGCGCCTGCTCCTCGCTCCCCGCGGTGTGGACCTGCGGCTTTTGCTGTTTCTTTTCCGAGGCGCCTGGCTGTCCCCGAGTTCTCTCTCCTCCGAGTGATCAGCAGGTGCCTCGCTGTTTCCCTTCCTTTTTTTTGAGTCAGGCATCACAGCAGCAACAACAGTAATGATTAACAGTTTGGTTTCAAAACACTTTCTGAAGAAATCACAGTAAACAGAGTCTGTTTGCCTAAGGAAACCCTGCCAGCGAGCAACTGCCTGCGCTAATGAACCCAGAGCCGTTAATGTGGTTTCTTCAGTTAAATTGATTCATGAATTTTGAAGAGAACATTATCTAATGAATTTTCTTTGAATAGAAAGCAATTAAAAGGACAAATCAGTCTGATTAACCCCAAAGTCACCCTCCTGCCACAAACGGTGTACAGTTTGAAATTATATCATGAGAAACTAGAGCACATCCGCTATCTCTTGCCCTCCCCTAATCCGTGTAAATTAATGAACAACAAAGTTAATTTCTCTGCTGACCCCTTCCTCGTATCACCTGGATTATGCTGATGTTTAATTTGCTTAATGTTATAATAAAGACTAAACAGATTTTTTTCCCAGTGAAGTGATTATCGTTCCCTTCAGCTAAAAAGTGATTTTTATTATTTAACGCGCACGTAAGGGTGCGTTTCCTCTAAGCACCACATTGCACTCGGCCAGCTTGGCCCCGAGTGGGGTTGGTGTGGTCGTGGGCGCACTCCGGGTCCGGCTCCTGCCCGAGGAGGCCGCCCCTTCGTCACCGTCAGGACCCCCTGCCACCGGAGGGCTCGGCACCCCGCCGCGGGGGACGCAGCTCTGGGTCCAGGGCTCCCGAGCCACGTGTCCCCTTTGCAGAGACAATAGGAGTCCACTCACGCCGGCCTCCGGCACGTGCCCGGGCCCGCCCCACGAACTCCGCCCCAAGAAACAGCTGCGGCACCTGGGGGCAGATAGTGCGACGGCCTCTGCGTCCACCTGTTCGGTCCTGCGGTGCCGTGAAGAGCGAATACGATTTGAGGTGCTTAATCCAGTAAAAGGGGAATAAAGTTATTTTAGTACTGCAGCCCTGCTCATGGCAGACGCATGCAGCCAAGGACCCCGCCAGCACCTGTGCCCCGTGCGTCTGGCGTTCCGAGTCTGCTCACTGCGGGCTGGGGACAGCCAGCTCAACGTCACAGCCGGCCGCGGCCCCTTTTCCTGCCGCGTCCCAGCCGAGGCTGGGAATGACCCAGCAGTGCACAAGACTTCAAAGTCGGGGGCAGGCCGGCCTCTGCGTCTTGATGGAGCCCGGACCGGGCAGCGTCGGCGGGAGCGGGGGACGCTGGGCAGCAGCCGCAAGGCCGCGGTGTGCGGTCGGGGATGCCCGCAAAGGCCCGCTCTGTGCCCTGCCTCGCTCTCGTTCCTCCGCGCCAGGTGACGTGGTGACGGCGTGCGTGCAGCCCGTGTTTTAATTGAGTGTAACACCTCTATTTGTGTCGATGCCTTTTCCGTTTCAGGCTGCCAGCTATTTATATCAGGGCTGTTACAGCCGCTGGCGCAGATCACGTCACTCTGTATTCTCCCTTCCAGACTCATTCACCGGGCAGGTGTTGTGGAAGCTGCTGAAGGCTGTGAAATTCGGAGAAGTGGTTTCTTACCAGCAATTAGCGGCCCTGGCAGGCAGCCCCAAAGCATCGCGGGCAGTGGGCGGAGCGATGAGAAGCAATCCTGTGAGTTCGGCCGGCGGGACCGGCGGGGGAGTGGCCGGGACTGGTCGGGGGCCGGCAGGGACTGGCGGGGAGCTGGCCTGGCCCTCGGCAGGGAGGAAGGGCCGAGTGTCGTCCGGTCTAAGCCTGTTTCCGAGCAGCCCGTGCTGCGGGGGGGTGTGGGGGGAGCAGCGGAAGCATTGGCGATGGCCCCCGCCCCTCTCCGGGAAGGTGGTACAGAAACATCCTCACATACCCCCGGAAGGCCTCCCCCTGCCTGTCAGAAGCACAGGAGCCGCTCGTCAAGGGAGCACGGGGTCAAAGCCTGGGGGAGTGGCAAGTTGACCCCATTCAGTCGACAGCTGGGTGCCCAGTATGCCCGACACTCTCCTGGGGGGGTCACACAGGAAGCGGAGCGGGCACCCCCCCCCGCCCCCGCCGCCCCATGCAGCTGATGTTCTGGAGGGGTGCACGGGAAGGTGCGAATCCAGCCTGTCTCCTGGGCAGCACGCTGTGACCAGGTCCAGCCCCCGCCCTGACATTAAGGCTAAGATCCCTGTGGAGCTGGGGACCCATAATGCACCCCGTTCGGATGAGTCTTCCCCTGGGGCATGGCCCTGTCCCCAGGCTCGTTCACGTCCTGTCTCTGCTGGGCGTCTGTGCCCGTGTCGCACCCAGAGGTACAGAGGGCACCTCTGCCCCTGCCCTCATCCTGCCACACAGGCCACCGGCCGTCTAATCTCAGAAAGAAGGTGGCTCGACATGGGGGAAAGGCTACCACGTGGGCCTGGCCAAGGCCACCCCTGCCGTGGACCCTGCGTGTGGGCGGGACAGCGCCCCATCTGCGCCCCACCTCGCCCACCGGGAGACCCCGCTG